CAAGGAAAACCAACTTGCCAGTGGCCTGAGGGAGCTCGAGGGAGGCCAAGGTCTTGAGAAGAAAGGACAGGCACCTCTACAAAGCAGGGGTGGGAAGCAGCCGAGGGAGGACAGAGAACTGAGACCGGGTGCCCACTCACTGTCTGCTGCTGTTTGGATTTGTAGGTGTGGCAGACGTCTCCAGTGCCAGGGACCACACCTTTTCGACGACATCAAAAGATGGGGAAGGAGCGTGTTATACATCTCTGATTTCTGACGTCTGTTACCCACCTCAGGAAGATTCCACATACTTCACTGGGATTCTTCAGAAGGAAAATGGCCATGCTCCCACTTCAGAGAGCCCTGAGGAGTCGGGTGGCCCCGGCCACTCCTTACCAGATGTGCCTGGGATAGAGCCTCGCGGCTTATTTAGTTCTGATTCTGGAATAGAGATGACTCCTGCAGAGTCCAGTGACGTGAACAAGATCTTAGCAGACCCGCTGGGCCAGATGAAAGCTGAAGCTTATAAATACATTGACATCACCAGGGCAGAGGAGCAACGTCACCCTGAATTGGAAGATAAGGACTTGAACTTGAAGAATAAAGACACTGAAATCTCAACAAAACCTGACAGGGTCCGTGAACCTGACAAACCAACTCCTGTGGAGGGAAAAATCATCAAGGACCATTTATTTGAAGAATCTACCTTTGCTCCTTACATAGACGATCTCTCTGAAGAACAGTGCAGTGCTCATGTGATCACTGCCCCTGTCAAAATCACTCTGACAGAGATAGAACCTTCTGTTGAAACTGCAACCCAGGAGAAGACCCCTGAGAAACAAGAAACCTGTCTGAAGCCAAGTCCTGACACAGTGCCCACTGTCACCGTCTCAGAGCCTGAAGATGACAGCCCAGGATCTGTCACCCCTCCATCTTCTGGAACAGGTAAACACCCTGGTATTCCCTGCCTAGGGAAAACACCTAGCTTGTGGAAATCTGAACTCCTAAGACACACTAAGGAATGATGATTTGCATTCAGAATATTTTACTATATGGTCCCCTTTAATCTCATGTGGTTAAACTAATTAATTAACATGCATTTTTTTTCAGACCTGTGTTCATTGTGCAAAGGTTCAGATCCAAAAGTTACCTTAAAGTCCATGGAGGGACTATCAAATTTTCTTCGTAAAATGTTTTCTTTTATTTCTTCATTTGAGGTTGGGCAGTGGGTGGAGATGCCCCTGTGATTCAGAGCAAAGAGAGAGAGATACTGACTGTTTTTAGTGAATACTCTTCCTACTTCTGGGCTGTCTTAGTCTGTATTCTGTGCTTAGAATGCCTGACATTTATTTAAGAGATTTATTTCTTGCAGTTTTGGAGGCTGGGGTCTCCAAGTTTGAGGGGATGCATCTGGTGAGAACCTTCTTGCTTGTGCTTGTGGGGGTTCTCTGAGGGTCCCGAGGAAGTACAGGGTGTCACATGGCAAAGGGGCTGAGTGTATTAATGTGCTTTGCCCAGCTCTCTCTTACTCTTCTTATAAAGCCACCAGTTCTACTCTCCTGATAACACATCAGTCCTTTTGCTTGTTAATCCATTAATCCATGCATGGAGGAGGTCAGAGCCCTAGTGATCTAATCACTTTTAATGGCTCTGTTCTTTATACAACCACGTTGGAGATTAAGTTTCAAAATGAGTACTATTTTTTCCAGTTCTTCAAAACATGATGTTGGTATTTTAATGGGGATCACATTGAATTTGTAGATTGCTTTGGGTAGTATAGACCTTTGAGCAATGGTGATTCAAATGAGTTTGGAGGTGGGGGGGCATTCAAATCATAGCACAGGTGTACAAGGCACCTGCTTGCCCTCATGGAGCTTACCTGCTACTTAGAGGAAACAGACAATAAAAACAAACACTTAAATATACACTGTCATTTCACAATGTGTGAATACTGTACATAGTGACAGAGAGTTGGGTGTGAGCAGATCAAGGAAGCCTCTCTGAGGAGTTGACGTGTTATCTGAAATCTGGCTGAGGAAAAGGACTCCATAATTCACAGAGAAGGACGAGAAACAATCTCTGTCACAGGGTACAATAAATGCACAGGGCTGTGTTACTTGGGGACTGAAAGAAGGCTGGGAGAGAGAAAAAGGAAGGGAAGAGTGTGACTTAGAGCACAGTTGGGGGGGGGGGGAAGGGCCCAGATCACGGATAAGGAATTTGGATTCTGTTCCAAGTGCAGTTGGAAGCCATGGGTGAGTTTTAAGCTGGGAAGTGACACCGTTCATTTGTTCATCCATTCATTTAACAAAATGCATTGACCATTTACTTCATGCCTGACTTAGTCCATTACCACCAGCAGGGATATAATGGTGAGTCACAGGAAGATCCCTGCCTGCTCAGAGCTTGCATTCTAGACAGGAAGACGCACTCACAAATAAATAGAGTAGAACTTCTGTAAGTTGACCACCCAAGGGAATGTAACAAACTGGTCAACACAAGGAACTAGGCCTGCTGTACTGATACGTACACATGGTGCATATCCTGTCTATGGAAATTAGGTCAGCGTAAAGAGGACGTGGTCAGCTATGGAACTTCTACTGTGTATAATATACTCAGGTAGTGATAATGCTTATGAAGAAAAATATAGCAAAGTAAAATGTTAGAGAGTTGTGGGGCTTGGGGTGAGGATAGACTTTTCCAAGCTTTTTGAGTGAGAGGTGAACTGTGCAAGAGAGGGATGGTCAGCATAAGAGCCCCAAGCTGGGAATGTCCTGTGTACTTAAGGAACAGCTGGAAGACCAGTGTGGCTTCAAGGGGGACAGGAAGGAAGGAATGGAAGGATCAGACTTGGGGTTTCCAGTGATCTCTGTGGATGCCACGTGCAGAATGAGCACCTGAGAACTGGTGGTAAAACAGCCCACACTCACCTGTCCTTGTATCTCTCTCCATTATATCTTCACAACCAGCAGCAGTGAACACATGACCCATGTGATGTGGAAAACTTTAGTTTTCATATTCCACTGGATGACTTTAGTTGAATGTTTCTAGCTTTGCTGTGTAAGTCTTAACAATATGTCAGTGAGGTTTGTAAGGCCTTTAAGACAGGTAGGGAAACTTCTTTGGGCTAATTTTTTCCTGATTCATCCTGATATTTATTAAATTTTTAGTTCCCATTAATAACAGAGGCCAATATCTACCAGTGCTGCTGAGTTACTTTTGAGTCACGCTAAGGATGAATTATTTTTTTTTCTTTTTT